AAACGTCATAAAAGTGTTTGGTTAAAAATGTTTTAGTAACTTTCATTTTACTTCTAAAATGTCGTCTGAATGATATCTGTAAGTTCTGTAAACATTTTAAAAAGGCTGTAAATGTATAGGATTTCTTATAAGCATCTTTTACAGGTAGACTCCTTAAAAACTCGAAATACATCCGCCACTGGCACACACAGGTCTACAAAAACAAGAAATAAAACATCATCGTCACACCCTTGTCTGCACTGGTATAGAAAAGGAAATTTTCAAGGGTGATAATCGACTAAACTGAAGCGTACACACAGCAAACAGTCTTCGTCTTCGGGTTATTGCTGTGACTAATGTTTCGGCGTTCTCCTCCCTCGTTTAGATAACGTGACGCTATTGTGCATTTGTCTTGCCGCATATAGAGTTATTAGGCAGTACATTTACCGGTTGTGTGGCGGCAAAAACACGTGACCACTAAATCAAAAATGGGGTGGCTCTAGGGTGAAATTATCCAGAACTATAAATAAACGCCGATAATTATATCTACGTGTGAATCACGATAACGGCTTACTTCCTGATTGCTTCCTTTTGATTTCGAGAATAAATTATATGGGCTGTTGTGAACTGAAAGAAAGTTGGGCGAAACTACATGATTAATTCCTTGTGGGTGTAAAATCAAAGTGGTGTGTTCATTTATGAACACAAAATATATTTTAGTATAACAGAATAATCCGTTTAATGCTTTTTATAAATATACAACAGAACCGACAAAATCGTAATGCATTGAAAACAGAATTTAGTGTATAATATACTATGTACACACAGTGATTAAAACAATATTATTATTTATTATATAAGTCCGGGTAAAACTTCGCCGCTTAGAAACTGATAGAGATATTAAAGTTCTGTACACGCCATTGTTTTTAACTTGAAGGGGGAAGCTTATTTAGGAATGGTTTGTTTTACACAATTTACAGCCGAGGCAATTGATGAAAGAAAACAAGTTGATGCAGTTTATCTCGATTTTCAAAAGGCATTTGAGCAAATAGATCACTACATATTGTTGCATTAGTTAAAAGCATTTGGATTCACTGATTCTCTCATCAATTTGTTTAAATCGTACTTGTTAAACAGAGACCAATGTGTCCGATATCAATGTCATACGTCTAAAAAAATATGTCTTACTTCTGGAGTGCCCCAGGGGTCGAACTTGGGCCCGTTGTTGTTCTTGCTGTTTGTTAATGACATCACTAATATTGTATCAACCGATAGTATACTATTTGCAGATGATTTCAAGATTTACAAAATAATAACATCGATCAAAGACTGTATCGCCCTTCAAAATGACCTCAATAAAATCTTTCAATGGTGTCAAAGAAATCGTCTCTTTCTAAATATTCTGAAATGCTTGGTAATATCGTATTGTCGTAAAAAGTCGCGTCTTCATTTTCAGTGCGTTATAGATAATATCGATTTAAAACGACATGATTCTGTAACAGATCTTGGCATACTGTTTGATGCTAAACTTACCTTTGTTCCACACATTAACCATATTGTTTCTAAAGCGTATAAAACCTATGGATTTATATATTTATAGAAACACAAAGGACTTCACTAAGATACAGACCCGCAAAACATTGTTCTTTTCGTTAGTTAAATCTCAGCTAGAGTACCGTACGGAGCGATTGTGTGGCATCCTATATATCTACCAAGTATCTCTCATTTTGTGAAGATAGAACGTATCCTCCTAGAGGTTATAATCATTCTCATTTACTGAATAGATTTAAGATTAATTCCTTGCACACTAGAAGAATTATTATTAAGACCCACCACTGACCCAGAAATGACCGGCATTCAGGCAAGACTTCTATCATTACGGGTACTAAGACCAAGTAATGATATGCATTGATTAGATTAACAAAACAACTTTCGAGATTCTAGAATTACAGCATACAAATTAGTCTGCTATTATTCTCTAATCTCACCCCATCCCCAAAAGTCTAGCGTAACTACCGATCATTTAACCGCGCATCACTTCGAAAGTGACCTACACTACTCTGATCTACTGGTGCTAATCTAATCTGACTGACATGATCAGACTGTTCAAGAAACTTACGAACAATATGACATGTTCCTAACAAAACAGCTTTTTGAATTTTGATAATTATTGAATCATTCAAATGCAAAGACTTTAAATTCTCAACTAAACTATTTGGGACTACACCTACATTAGAGATAACTAAGGGTAGAATTGAAATTTTTTTAAGATTCAACATGGATTTCATTTCTATCGATAATTGTAGATATTTTGAAATCTTGGTGTGGTATGTTTGAATAATGTATAAAATAGGTCATATAATGTAAAGGATCCTCCAAACAACGGACACTCTCAACAACGGACATGGACAGTAACATTTTTAGTTATTTTCTTGTAAAATTACCTCTTCACGACGGACAGGTAACAGGTAAGGCGTTCCCGAGATTAGACCGTACAATAAAATTTAAAGATTAGGCCAACAGATTCTTGGTAACAGGTCATAACTCCCTTCAACCCCACACTGCTCATAATAAATATGGGTTTTTCCCAAATAGCAAAGATGGGGTAGTTTTTTTTTTATCAAGTTAGTGCGAACGAACTTAGAAAACATTATTCCTTGAACGTTTATGTTTAATAAAAAATTGAAATTACATATCGACACTGCCGAGAAGTTTAAATTAAGAATTCGGCGACTCTCAGAAAAATTCGCCGTTGTTAAAACGCAAGAAATAACAAAGAAATAATATACATGTAGCAATAATCAATAAAATATTGAATAAAATGCATGTATGCATGTACCTACATTGTATGTACGAGTAGCGCTTTCTTTAGTTCGTGTCTTGAAACCTCTTGACAGCGGATATTTCTCCACAGCGGACCAATTGAGATTCCCCATGGGTGTCCGTCGTGGACAGGTTTTACTGTAATTGTCGATATTTAAGTTTTCCTACTTTTAGCCATCAGTATATGTACAGTCCTATAGAGGATACTAGCGATATTTTGCTTTTATTACTAGTTTTAAACGCAGATAGATTTGTTTAATGTTTTCCTACTTTTGCCCTCACCGAATGTATGTAAACGGAATTGAAAGCTCTGAAGGTCAGTGATAATAATAGAAAGAAGTTTTCCGGATTTGGACCATGTCGATTTTAAAAAGAGTTTCAATGTTTCGCCCACTTTCATTAGAGGGTTAACAACAGGACAAGTAGAACGAAAAGTACTTTCCAACACAAGAACTGAGAAGCTAGTTTAGTGGTACTAATTTGGTATTCAAATTTATTTTAACCTACCATCTGTATGAGCAAAGTTAGGCAGTACTAGCGTCGACCAATTGTTTCTGTGCGTCGTTTTATTGAATTTTAACTAAATATTTATATAATCCGGATAACGACGACAAATGTCCTAAGTTTTCTCTTTCAACTTTAAAACAGTTATTTTACTTTTGTTTGACAAACGACCAATTTCGGGTTTTTGGACGTCTCATGGTTTCCCGAATATGAATGAAAAAAGATCTTCCGTTTCCATGTATATATTGCCGTTTGTCATCTATTGATGATTTTATTAGACAGATTATTATTATCTCGGAGACAAGGAAGTTTAGGTGTATTTTACGAGTATCGAATAGATAGGTATAACGCTAACTAAAATTTGTCTAATCATCCAAAAATCTGAAAACGTAATTTAAAAATCCTATTTAAAGTTTATAAAATAATATATTTCTACACTTAAGATTTATCAGTTTGGTTATAAGCTAGGGAAGTATAGCAATAGGGTCCATCTGGCAAATAACTCATTTCAAGTTTCTCAACGTTCCAGGATCATTAAAGTAATGACAAAATAGGATCTCCGATTTCCATCTGTCTATCGTCTGCGGTCTGTTGGCGATTTTATTAAACAGATAATCTCCGAAACTGCTGAACAATTGTTGTTAAAATTTAAATGTATGTTAGAAATGTCGTATAGATGTAAATAGTAAAGCAGTAACCAAAATTAGCCTGACCATAAACAAGTTAATAAATAAAATTCTCAAAATCAAATTTTATCTTTTCTCGAAAAAGCTAGATTTGTTCGACTGTATTTTAAGGACGAGGGAAATTCTGTCTAAATGGCTTTAGACCAATTTTTGTTTAAAACACGTTGATTGTATCAAGATTATAAATAAACTAAATTTTAAAACTTTTTCTGTGTAGGACCTCTACGGTGCTTTACGCACTCAGTACAACGTACGTCTGGGCATACTTCTAATGAGATGATCGATTTCCTCCTAAGGTGTAGCATCCCAAGGTACCTGTATACCTCATGATGAAAGTTCGCCAGAGTCTGTGGAGGATTCGGTAAATGGGGCAATCTTCTCCCCATAATAATGTCCCAGAGTTGTTCAATGGGTGAAAAATCCGGAGATCGAGGTGGCGAAGGCAAGAAATTGACGTAATTTTACTCAAAGAATTCCAGTATAGCTCTGGCTTACATGTGGCAGCGCATCATCTTGTTGAAAAAGAAGATTTTTTTATACCACCACTTTGCATCTCATCCTTCATAGGTGCATATAATTACATACAATTGTCGAACAAGCCGCTGAAATAACGTCCGATTTTAGTGTTGAAATGAAATCACATTCACCTGGAATAAATAATAAGTTTCACGTATCTAACACTAAAGAAAACAGTTCGTCCGTAGTAATAATATTTTCATTTAAGTTTGGTCCAAAGTCAAAGACAGACTGAAGTCTTGCAAAACCCCTTGTAAGTCACTTCACTTCACACTATGAATTATAGTAAATTTTACCACAACATTATTATCTGTAACAATAATAAGTTCGCAAAATTTGTTGTCACAAGGTTGCAAGTTATTATTATAGGCAACCATCTATACATAATCTATTTTCGAACACAAATATGTATTGCTTTTCAATTGATAAAATTTTATAGCTCGCTGTTACCTTGAAATCGTTCATAGCCCAGCGTAGATGGAGAAGTGGGACTTATATCAATGTTTTAATCAGTAAAAAATTAGTTTGTTTAAATCGACTATTGAGACGTGTTTGCCGGTTTCGTAATCATAGTGTTACAACCGTAAAAACAAACAAAAGTAATGGCTGGCGTAGATATTTCCATAGATGAGTACGACGTAGAAGATTTACTTAAAACGTCTCTGTTGATTCCGGATTTAGTAGTAGACGGCATACATTTTGGCCGCGGTGATGCCTACTACAACGAGAACACCTCAATTCAGCTGAAACATAAAACCGTGCAGGTGAAATGTTGGCGAATCGTCGAGCAAAATCTAGAAGAAATCGGAGAAGAATCGAACAACTTCTACAGCTGTGAAACTTACATCGTCCAGTGGAAATCCATCACAGATAATTTTCGTTTCAACACCGATGATGTTTTAAGTAAGCAAGAAAACAATATTTACTTTTATTGGAGAGGAGAAGGAGCGGTGAAGGGATATTCACCTTTACCGGAGTCCATAGAGAAAGAAAATCCCCCTGTAGAAAGAATAGTCCAGTGGTCTGAACCACCGGCTTTCCTTCAGCTTTTTTCTGGTACTTTAATTGTACACAGTGGGAAACAAAACAGTTTAAGTGATGATCCGCATCTCTATATTCTTAGAGGCGAAATGGATAAAGAATTACACTTGTACGAAGTGGAACTAAAGAAGGAAAGTCTGCGCAGCAGAACTTCATTTGTTTTACACTTTTCCAAAGAAAAGGCTTCGATCATCTGGCACGGGAGCAAGTCGAGTTCGCACAATAAAAATTCTATCAAAAAAACAACAGAGAAAGTTTTTGGGAAGAACATCACAGAGATTGATGAAGGATTTGAGAGTGAGAAATTCACAGAGGCATTTAAAGGCGACAGTAGTGATTATTTTGTTCATCCAGTGGAGAAAGTTATAGATTATACACCTAGGTTATTTTACTTTAATAAAATTATTGGAAATTTTTCAATTGCAGAAATTGAGTGCAGTCATAAGAGTAGTTATTTGACAACTTTTCCGTTTCTTCAGTCTCATCTGTATACTGCTGAACAGCCAGGTATATTTTTCCGTCTGAATTTTGCACCGTTCTACATTTTTGAATTGTGTCTTACATTGAAAAAGTCGTCAACGAATGGTTTAGCTTTTTTGAAAATTAAAAAATCTTAAATTAGGAACAGCGATGCTAGCAACAATTTTCTTAAAGTCGCCTGTTTTTCCACATTTTTGTCACCACTTATCCCATTCAAAAACGTCTCTTATGAAGGTTCTAAGGCGAGTTGTAAAATTTTATTACATGAAGGTCTCATAGAATAAGAGAAATATACCTACCACACTAACTTTCGTAATTAAATCATTTAAGGCTTCCGACAAAAACTGGAATATCTTCTTCTTTCACCCTTTTCTAGCACTCTATATAGCTCAACATTACTGCTAAAATTTTAACGCCCAATACAGTTTAACCATTTCCTTTTGCTATAGACAAATAATTCACCAGTTTTACGTTTCGTTGAATTTTTTTCAAAATTTCAGAGGATATTAGGACTTCATCACTCCTTTCGATTATTTGTACCAAAATTGTGCGGAAAGTCACAAATACTTCGAGAGAAATTATTTATGAACATCAACTTTGTATTTGTGTAACAATTCGTTGCAACTTGATGACGGTCAAAATATTAAAGTACCTAAACATAAAATGGACGGTAAAGTAGAGCAATCGTCAAAAACGCAAAATTACTAACTTGGCCAAGTTCATACAACCTCGATAATAAATCTGCATCTTTTTTATTTGTTTAAACAAAAGATAGTTTAACCTTTCCATGAGCAAATACCGGCAAGCTCATCACTTAGAACAGATTCAGTCAATCTAATAATAGTCCAAAAATTCTTTTTCTTTGTTATTCTAATAAATATGTCATTTAGAAAATTTGTTCTACTATATTAACCATAATGCATAGTCTACTCACCGAGCCCAAAAGAAAAATGATTAATAGCAATTAATAATTCCAGCAATCTTCCTTCTGGACGACAATGATGAAATCTGGGTCTGGTACGGATGGGAACGTGACGAAGACGACGAATTTAAAAGCGAATGTTTCGTAGTTGCAATCAACTATGCAAAACAGAAGAGCAAAAGAATAAAGCAACTTGTTCGAATTCATAAAGTAATTGCCGGTTTCGAGCCTAATAATTTCACAAATCTGTTCCCTGTCTGGAAGAAAAGAGAGGACATCGCACAACTCCAAGAAAAGGTTGGTTTCAAATATTGTGACGTATTTTTTAATGATGTATCAAGTCGTAAATCAGGTTGTACAATATTTTAGGATGGTGTGCTGCCGAGCGTAAATCCCATAATTGAGATGATTTCTTACGAGGACGTGGCGAAAGCTTAATTCCATTAGCGACTTCTTGGTTTTATTAAATTATTTTTATTTCAAATACTGGTTGTCTTTAATATATAGTCTCAATATATATTTGCTTCTTACGGAAGTTGCACTTTTAACTTGAAATTTGATTGTTGCATACATGTATTTAATAAAGCATTGGAAGATTGTGAGCTTGTTTTTACCTCTCCTAGAATTACAAAATTATGCTATTCATTTCTGAGGACAATGGAATACCTACTCATTTGTTAACGTTTGTAAGGCCATAATACTTCATAAATTTCTAATATGACATTGAGAAATAATTTTATTTTCCTTCGAATCATATTAAAATTTTGTTAAGTTGGGATTAAATACACGGAGTAATAAATAATAGATGAATAAATTTGAACATTATTTCTGCATACATGTTTACGTCAAGGTAACACTTGATTGTGGCACAAAATAGTAAGATCTGACATTCTGTTCGTATTCCATGTCTGAAAAAAGTAAGTGATAAATAAGTTTACAAATTTGACGCTTATTTCGTCCTTACGGTATTACAAATTCAGCTTACAGAAGACATTTTCCGCAAAAACGTGTTGACTTTTATCTCCAACTTCAAAAACCTAAAAAAAATTATAACAATTGTCACTATCAGTACTGACATTTATCTACCAATGAAATTTCATCACCACTTCCGCACTTTCCATAACAAAGCTTTCATCAACAATCAGTGGGTGAACGCTCTGAGCCAGAAAACCTTCCCCGTAATGAACCCAGCAACCTCTGAACCCATCGGATGCGTTCCAGATATGAACGTCGATGACACCCAACACGCCATAGAGGCAGCTCAAGACGCCTTTCAAATCTGGAAACATACTACAGGCCAAGAACGCTCTTTTTACCTCCGCAATTGGTACAACTACTTGTCTTGCAATAAAGAAGGCCTGGCACAAATTATTCTACAAGAATGCGGCAAACCTATCAAAGAATCAGAAGCAGAAATTCAGTACGGCAACTCTTTCATCGAGTTTTTTTCCAACGAAGCGAGACGTATTCACGGTGAGATTTTATCTAGTCCCGTCCCCGACAAGAAAATCTTTGTGGAAAAGCAGCCCATTGGGGTTGTTGCGTTAATCACTCCGTGGAATTTTCCATACGCTTTGGTGGCAAGGAAAGCGTCTGCTGCCTTAGCTGCTGGTTGCACGTGTGTAGTGAAACCTGCTGAAGACACGCCTTTTTCCGCGTTGACGTTGGCTGAGATGACACAAGCAGCTGGATTTCCTGATGGGGTGTTCAATGTGGTGACCAGCAGTCGAGAAAATACGCCGAAAGTTGGTAGTTTGATGTGTACGAGTCCTTTGGTGGCTGGAATTTCCTTTACAGGCTCAACCAATGTTGGGAAGATTCTGTACAAACAATGCTCTTCGGGCATTAAACGACTGGGACTAGAACTCGGTGGAGACGCACCTTTTATAGTATACGCCTCTGCAGATGTAGACAAGGCAGTTAAAGGAGCAATGTCTTCGAAATTTCGAAGTTGTGGCCAAACCTGTGTTGCTTCAAACCGCTTTTTCATCCACTGCAGCAAATACGACGAGTTTTGTGGAAAACTTCTAGAACAAGTCTCTCAATTAAAAATCGGCGATCTACAAGACCGCGCTACAAATATAGGACCCTTAATCAATCAAGCCCAGTACGATAAAGTGTCAACTTTAGTTCAAGATGCTGTTTCTAAAGGCGCCAGGGTCCTAACGGGCGGTACAGGTACGCCGCTACTGTACCAACCGACAGTTCTCGCTGATGTGACACCAGACATGCAGATTTACAAGAAAGAGGTATTTGGGCCTGTGGTCAATTTATTGCGGTTTAAAGACGAAGAAGAAAGCGTTTGCATGGCCAATGATACTCTCACAGGTTTAGCAGGCTATATATTTTCAGAAGATGTTGCGCAGATTTTTAGAGTGACTAAAATGTTGGAAGTGGGGATGTGCGGAGTAAATGAGGGGGCTATATCTATGGCAGAAATTCCTTTTGGAGGGGTAAAGGAATCAGGGATAGGAAGAGAGGGTTCACATTATGGTATCGATGATTATACGTATATGAAATATATTTGTATAGGAAGTCTGTAAATGTTCCTTTTTAATTCAACGACGATTTATTTCCAGTAGAGAATATTGTGTATAATGAACTTGTAATTATGGTCAATATGTAACCTGTCCAGTAAATAATAATATGACATTTGAACTGTGATTGCCATGGATGTTAAGGCTGATTTGTAGATTGACATAGGTACTACACTATACTATAGACATAGACGCATTCTAAAAACATGAACAATACATTTTTAATTATTACATTTATAAATTGACATAAGAAAACTGTGTAACGTTAGCATAACATAAGAGATGACCAACTCTCATATTTTATTCATCACGTTTTTACTTCCCGAGCGTAAGCAAAGGAAGTATTGTAATCGAGTCCGTCGGCCGACTCTCTACTTTTACGTTTTCTCGATCTTTCATGACCCCTAGAAGACGAAGAAATAGGTCTCCCATTTCCGTCTGTCTGTCCGTCTGTCCGTCTGTCCGTCCGTCTGTCTGTCCGTCTGCCGTCCCGGATTTTTATTAGACAGATAATCTCCGAAAATACTCGACCGATTGTTGTGAAATTTTGTACTTATATTAAGAATATCATGTAGATGGTAAAACGCTAACCAAAATTTGTCTAATCATCCCCACCACTAATGCGATGACGTCACTTCAAAATTGTACATAGTAAATGGGTTTTCAATTGTATAAAATAACATAGTCCTACACATGTAGTTTACAACTCTGAATCGACTTTTCACCCGAAACGTCCAGATTTTTGGAAAAAAAATCAAAATTATAAAACAACATTTTGAAATTTAATTTTTAATCTGCTAACCAGAATGCTTTGAAATGTTGCAGATGTTTTAAGCGCATAAGAGCATCATAAATCTTTAGTCAAAAAATATTTGCTTATCCCCTCCAAAAACTTGATGACGTCAGCTCAAAAGTTTGTGGAATAAATCATATCTAAAATGTACAAAATATGATGAGTCTGTACTTGTGATCTATCACTCCATTCATATTTTTTGGATTTGCATATACAGGGTGATTCAAGAAAATAAATGAAAGCGTAAATTTATTTTACTGATTTACTCAGGAACTACAAAACCGAATGCTTCAAAATCTTGAAGATATTTTAAAATTATCATAAGCATGGTAAATTTTTGATCAAAACGTATTTGGTCGTCCCCCCCTAAAAAATTTATGACGTCACCACAAAATTTTGCTGAATAAATCCTATCTAAAATGTACAAAATATGGTGAGTCTCTTCTTGTGATTTATCATTCCATTCATATTTTTTGGATTTGCATATACAGAGTGACTCAAAAAAATTAATGAATGCGTAAATTTATTTTATTGATTTAATCAGGAACTACAAAACCGAATGCTTTGAAATCTTGCAGATGTTTTAAGGTTATACAGAGCATAATAAATTTTTAGTCAAAATATATTTGGTTATCTTCTACAAAAAACTGATGACGTCAGCTCAAAAGTTTGCCGAATAAATCGTATCTAAAATGTACAAAATATGATGAGTCTGTACTTGTGATTTATCATTCCATTCATATTTTTGGATTTGCATATGCAGGGTGACTCAAAAAAATTAATGAAGGCGTGAATTTATTTTATCGATTTAATCAGGAATTACAAAACCGAATGCTTTGAAATCTTGGGAATATTTTAAAGTTATTATAAGCATGGTAAACTTTTGTTCAAAATGTATTTGTTCATCCCTCCTAAAAAAATTGATGACGTCACCCTTAAATTTTGCTGAATAAATCCTATCTAAAATGCAAAAAATATGATGAGTTTGTACTTGTGATTTATCATTCCATTCATATTTTTTAGATTTTCTTAAGAGGTGGTTCAAAAAAATTAATGAAGTCAATTTATTTTATTGATTAAATTAAAGGCAACACTTATTATTAGTATTACACCCCAACCAACCCAATTTGGTAGACACAAAATTTGTTAAAGGAAAAACTCGGTTGAAACATAAGGGTAGCACGCTTATTTACATCGACTTTAACATTACAGACCTGCATTTGTTTTATGCCTCACTTGGTTCCGCGAATGTGAAATAGACATGTTTATAATCAACCAATTGTGAATTTCACCGTCAAGAATTAAAATAAAACCCAATGTTTTATATAATAAGCGGAAGTCGAAGCAATAAAACCGATGGTCGTTTTGTTTACAGTTTCTCTGTTTGACTCTCACGTATGCTGTTACGCCTGTCATCTTAAATTAAGAATGTTTATACATACACGATTTTCAGTTGCCTCTGATACGTATACGTGAGTAAATTGTTTCGTTATTTTATTGATTATTACAAATCAATATTCAAAACGACCCAATTCATTTTCCCGAAAATTTGAGAATATAATAATTTTATTCTTAGTATTACATTACATCTATCCCAACTGATATACGTGTCCTTGCAAAAATGTTGATGACGTCATCGCAATTTTTTTTAAATTCCCACTACAAAAATGTAATGAGAAAAAGAAACACAATAGGCATGCAGTCGTCAAGTTTCCGACAGCGAGGGAAGTACTGTCTAAACTCTTTAGACCAATTTTTACTTCCCGAGCGTAAGCAAAGGAAGTATTGTAATCGAGTCCGTCGGCCGACTCTCTACTTTTACGTTTTCTCGATCTTTCATGACCCCTAGAAGACGAAGAAATAGGTCTCCCATTTCCGTCTGTCTGTCCATCTGTCCGTCTGTCCGTCTGTCCGTCCGTCTGTCCGTCTGTCCGTCTGTCCGTCTGTCCGTCTGTTGTCACGGATTTTTATTAGACAGATAATCTCCGAAAGTACTCGACCGATTGTTGTGAAATTTTGTACTTATATTAAGAATATCATGTAGATGGTAAAACGCTAACCAAAATTTGTCGAATCATCCCCACCACTAAAGCGATGACGTCACTTCAAAATTGTACATAGTAAATGGGTTTTCAATTGTATAAAATAACATAGTCCTACACATGTAGTTTACAACTCTGAATCCACTTTTCACCCGAAACGTCCAGATTTTTGGAAAAAAAATCAAAATTATAAAACAACATTTTGAAATTTAATTTTTAATCTGCTAACCAGAATGCTTTGAAATGTTGCAGATGTTTTAAGGCTATAAAGAGCATCATAAATCTTTAGTCAAAAAATATTTGCTTATCCCCTCCAAAAACTTGATGACGTCAGCTCAAAAGTTTGTGGAATAAATCATATCTAAAATGTACAAAATATGATGAGTCTGTACTTGTGAACTATCACTCCATTAATATTTTTTGGATTTGCATATACAGGGTGACTCAAAAAAATTAATGAATGCGTAAATATATTTTATTGATTTAATCAGGAACTACAAAACCGAATGCTCTGAAATCTTGCAGATGTTTTAAGGTCATAAAGAGCATAATAAATTTTTAGTCAAAATATATTTGGTTATCTTCTACAAAAAACTGATGACGTCAGCTCAAAAGTTTTCCGAATAAATCGCATCTAAAATGTACAAAATATGATGAGTCTGTACTTGTGATTTATCATTCCATTCATATTTTTGGATTTGCATATGCAGGGTGACTGAAAAAAATTAATGAAGGCGTGAATTTATTTTATCGATTTAATCAGGAATTACAAAACCGAATGCTTTGAAATCTTGGGAATATTTTAAAGTTATTATAAGCATGGTAAACTTTTGTTCAAAATGTATTTGTTCATCCCTCCTAAAAAAATTGATGACGTCACCCTTAAATTTTGCTGAATAAATCCTATCTAAAATGCAAAAAATATGATGAGTTTGTACTTGTGATTTATCATTCCATTCATATTTTTTAGATTTTCTTAAGAGGTGGTTCAAAAAAATTAATGAAGTCAATTTATTTTATTGATTAAATTAAAGGCAACACTTATTATTAGTATTACACCCCAACCAACCCAATTTGGTAGACACAAAATTTGTTAAAGGAAAAACTCGGTTGAAACATAAGGGTAGCACGCTTATTTACATCGACTTTAACGTTACAGATCTGCATTTGTTTTATGCGGTCACTTGGTTCCGCGAATGCGAAATAGACATGTTTATAATCAACCAATTGTGAATTTCACCGTCAAGAATTAAAATAAAACCCAATGTTTTATATAATAAGCGGAAGTCGAAGCAATAAAACCGACTGTCGTTTTGTTTACAGTTTCTGTGTTTGGTTCTCACGTATGCTGTTACGCCTGTCATCTTAAATTAACAATGTTTATACATACACGATTTTTAGTTGCCTCTGATACGTAGGTATACGTGAGTAAATTGTTTCGTTATTTTATTGATTATTACAAATCAATATTCAAACGACCCAATTCATTTTCCCGAAAATTTGAGAATATAATAATTTTATTCTTAGTATTACACTACATCTATCCCAACCCCAACTGATATACGTGTCCTTGCAAAAATGTTGATGACGTCATCGCAATTTTTTTTTAAATTCCCACTACAAAAATGTAATGAGAAAAAAAACACAATAGGCATGCAGTCGTCAAGTTTCCGACAGCGAGGGAAGTACTGTCTAAACTCTTTAGACCAATTTTTTATATTTGTGAATCAAAATAAATAAGATTGTTACTAATCAATTTAATTATGACGTTAGTTAATGGCGACGGAAATCTGACTTTTGCGTCGAAAACAGACTGATTTTGTATGTGATTAACGGACTAATAACGAAATTGATAAAGCATGACAAAATAGTCTTACAAAGAAAAATTGTGCTGTCAACATGTAAATCAACCTTTAGAATTAGTTACGAAAGCCACCAGTATGGCCACATTTCAAACCATAATTTTTTAATAAGTATTTATGCTTTTTGCTCCATTCGTCATGTTTTTGAGTAAATATATGTATCCATTTAATATTTTTTACAATCACTAGTAGGTATACCGATCGTTCAAAATATCGATACTCTATCAGTATGCAAATAGAAGAGCATGTTAGCATGTTACAATATACAAATTTCAAACGAATTTTAAACTTGGCACTTTTTCGAGATGACGTCAACAATTTTTTGCTGAAGATGAACAGAGACAAATTAAAAAATTGGTCGAAAGAGTTTAGACAGTACTTCCCTCGCTGTGGGAAACGTGACGACTGCATGCCTTTTTTTTCGCATTACATTTTTGTAGCGGAGCATTTTAAAATAAAATGAATTAATTTTTTAAATTTTGTCATTATTTGGCATCGACATCTTTATCATTTAAAAAAATAAATAAATTGCACGAAGTCGTCTCTGGGGTGTATAATATGTTGCCTATGCAAAAATTGTCAGGTGTGAATAGATAAAGTGAACAGATAAAATGAACACCCCGTATAGAGTACTTGTATTTAAGACAAACAGCCATAAGTTATGGCCCGTGACACTTATCAACCTGAAGACGTGACGGTGAAATACAAACGAAACTAAAGCATGGTTTCTACGAATTGCAATAACCGGATGACAATGCGACGGTCCAGACTTTTTTATTGATCTGACTTCCGTTTATTGAATAAAACACTACATTTTATTTGGTTTTTGGATGCTGTAATTCACATTTGGTTAATTATAACTTGTCTATAGCTAGGGGAGCATCCGCTAGCCTCCCCTAGCTACGGCCTTATGAGAAACGAGTACCAAATTGACCAATGGACTCCACGACTGTACGTCCTTAGATTATCCTCGATAAGAAAAACGACTTGAAAGTTTTTATGTTTATACATCGGAAGAATGTCACGTAGAAATTAGTTTGATTTGAATACGTTCGACTCCTCAAAACAGGAACAAAACAATTAACTAGTAAGCTACAATCGACAAAATGTTCTGAATATCATTATTATAATTCTTATTAAATAAAGACGTTTGTATTATCACTAGAGAGCGGATTTCTGTCGGGCTACGTCACGATTATAGATGGGGACGCGTGATAATCAGTACATTTAATCTTCACTTATTCTATAAATACAATTAACGAAAACTTAATTCGTAAAACAGCTAGGTAAATGAGAACGGGAATTAACAGCAAAGTACAACGAAACACCGTTATTTATTTTATTACAGCCAGTAATTGCAATTTCCCATCCCGCACGAGCCGTACCGAGTTTGGCCCGACAGAAACCCGCTGTCTAATTATCACATTTTCGAGAAAATGAGATGACTCGTTCTTAAATGATCGATAAAAAATATGAATGCCATAATGAATCACAAGTAAAACTCATATTTTGCACATTTTGGGTAGAATTTACTCCGCAAAATTTTGAGATGACGTCATCAATTTTTTGGGGAAATATAGCTATTTGTGCAATAAGATAGGAAAAGTGACATTTTTCCACGTTCTAGACATGAGATTTTTGATCGAGACGAAGTCGAGATCAAAAACATGTCGTGAATGTGGAAAGACACTTTTCCTAACAAATTGCACACGAGATTTTGTAAAATTAGGTAAAAAAACTCTTCATTATAAATTTAATTGAATGACAAAGTATCAAGTCCCTTTTAATGCAATAAATTTGTTGTCATGGAAAATACAAACAAACAACGCAACATTTTGCAATTTTTCAACGTTTGAAGTGTTTTGGGCGTTTCTTGAGGTAAAAATGTTGGAAGATGAAATTGCATCAGTATTCTGTGATATTGAAGAGTCAGCTACACTGGCACGCAATTCACTATTGCCCGAGAAATCAAAGAAAAAATATACAAAATTGGTCTAAAGAGTTAGACAGTACTTCCCTCGCTGCAACATTTTTGCAAAGACACGTATATCAGTTGGGATAGATGTAGTGTAATACTAAGAATAAAATTATTGTATTCCCAAATTTTCGGGAAAATGAATTGGGTCGTTTTGAATATTGATTTGTTATAATCAATAAAATAACGAAACAATTTACTCACGTATACGGCGCCGGCGTGTATTAGGAGAGGCAACTGAAAATCGTTTATGTATAAACATTCTTAATTTAAGATGACAAGCGTAACAGCATACGTGAGAGTCAAACAGAGAAATATATAAAACATTGGGTTTTATTTTAATTCTTGACGGTGAAATTCACAATTGGTTGATTATAAACATGTCTATTCCACATTCGCGGAACCTAGTCAGCGCATAAAACAAATGCACGTCTGTAATGTTAAAGTCGATGTAAATATGCGTGCTACCCTTATGTTTCAACCGAGTTTTTACTTTAAAAAATTTTGTGTCTCCCAAATTGGGTTGGTCCAATGTAATACTAATAATAAGTGTTGCCTTTAATTTAATCAATAAAGTAAATTGACTTAATTAATTTTTTTGAGCCACCTTCAAGAAAATCTAAAAAATATGAATGGAATGATAAACCACAAGTACAAACTCATCATATTTTTTGCATTTTAGATAGGATTTATTCAGCAAAATTTAAGGGTGACGTCATCAATTTTTTTAGGAGCGATGAACAAATACATTTTGAACAAAAGTTTACCATGCTTATAATAACTTTAAAATATCTCCAAGATTTCAAAGCATTCGGTTCTGTAAATCCTGATTAAACCAATAAAATAAATTCATGCATTCATTAATTTTTTTGAGTCACCCTGTATATGCAATTCCAAAAAATATGATTGGAATGATAAATCACAAGTACAGACTCATCATATTTTGTACATTTTACATAGGATTTATTCAGCAAAATTTTGAAGTGACGTCATCAATTTTTTAGGGGGGAAAAGCAAATACATTTTGATAAAAAATTTACCATACTTATGATAACTTTAAAACATCTCCAAGATTTGAAAGCATTCGGTTCTGTAATTCCTGATTAAATCAATAAAATAAATTGACGCATTCATTAATTTTTTTCAGTCACCCTGTATATACAAATCGAAAAAATATGAATGGAATGATAAACCACAAGTACAGACTCATCATATTTTTCACATTTTAGATAGGATTTATTTACCAAATTTTAGGGTGACGTCATCAATTTTTTTAGGGGGGGATGAGCAAATAAATTTTGATAAAAAATTTACCATGCTTATAATAATAATAATAATAATAATAATAATAATAATCTTTATTTATTATGATAACTTTAAAATATCTCCAAGATTTCACAGCATTCGGTTCTGTAATTCCTGATTAAATCAATAAAATAAATTTTGCGCATTCATTAATTTTTTTAAGTCACCCTGTATATGCAAATACAAAAAATATGAATGGAGTGATATATCACAAGTACAGACGCATCATATTTTGTACATTTTAGATAGGATTTATTCGGCAAACTTTTGAGCTGACGTCATCAAGTTTTTGGAGGGGATAACCAAATATATTTTGACTAAAGATTTATGATGCTCTTTATAGCCTTAAAACATCTGCAACATTTCAAAACATTCGGGTTAGCAGATTAAAATTAAATTGGAAAATGTTGTTTTATAATTTTGATTTTTTTTCCAAAAATCTGGACGTTTCGGGTAAAAACTGAATTCGGAGTCGTAAACTACATGTGTAGGACCATGTTATTTTCTACAATTTAAGACCCATTTACTATGTACAATTTTGAAGTGACGTCATCGCATTTGTGATGGGGATGATTAGACAAATTTTGGTTAGCGTTTTACCTTCTACATGATATTCCTAATATAAGTACAAAATTTCACAACAATCGGTCCAGTACTTTCGGAGATTATCTGTCTAATAAAAATCCGGGACGGCAGACAGACGGACAGACGGACGGAAATGGGAGACCTATTTCTTCGTATTCTAGGGGTCATGAAAGATCGAGAAAACGTAAAAGTAGAGAGTCGGCCGACGGACTCGATTACAATACTTCCTTTGCTTACGCTCGGGAAGTAAAAATGCATTGTCTATGTAGATGAATTTATGCATGTTTATGATGGTGCAGTTGAAAGGTTGTGAATTGTCACTTTGAACAATAAAGGTATAAAATATGTACTCTAGAAACTATAAGTCATAACTAGAGCTGTGCGGTTGAAATTTATTTATCCCCACTATCCGTCCCATCAGGCCAGCAGTGCAGGCCGCTGCAGTCTTGGCTTCCTCGCTTCTCGCTTCCCATTGTGTATTATTTTTCATAATTCACATCAATCGTTTTATTGTCAACGAGACCGGCACTCGAACATTATAAAAATTATTATTCTTATTATTTCGTGGATATGGATTTTAAAATCATCAACTGATTTTCAGTGAACATTATTTTTCGCGTAAATTTCTTCGCGATACGTAACATCGGCTGTGAGCCGCTGGTCTGCCGTAGTAGGGGTCGATTCGAAGCGTTTAAATTTCGACCGCACAGCTCTAGTCATAACGTAATTGTAATTCTCCGCATGTTACTGCAGCAACCGTTCTGTTACTTCTCTGTTTACCTTTAAAAAAGTACACAGCAGAACATGCAACACCTATGATTAAAAGACGAGAAAAGTTTTGTGTAAAATAAATACTAATTAATCTCAAGAATGAATTTTATTATAAATTAAATTTTTACATCAAAGTAAAACTGCGTCAATATAATCCACAAAATTGTTTACCATAATGAATTCCATATTTTTTATACACTGATTCCAAACGGCATGGAACAAATTCGAAAAGTTCAAAACATGCTCAAAATGTCACAGAACAAACATCTTTTATGATCTTATTTTTTTTTTTTACATAGAAAATTATATACACAGAAAAGAGAATTTTAATGACAACGTGATTATGATAACAAATGACCTACAATCAACTTTGCCTTCCGAATTTACTCCATTCTTTATAAATCCATTTTAGAGCGAGAAGTTAATTTACCTTAAGCAAATAGATGTATAACAATTTGTCTCCATAGATATGTGATAACAATAAAAAATTAGTTTTAAATTTTTCGTTATAAATAATTAACCACCTATCACAAATTCAACATTATGGGTTGGATGTAAAAAATTGAAGTAGTTGCTAATATTAAAGTATGGTACACAGTGTAAATATTAAAAACGTGTTTTTACAATTAAAAAAATCTGGAATAAGAAGAATCCAATGAATACGATAAGTAATTAGCACCTACTTTATTTCATCCAAACCACCCTATGCACAAATCACAACTTCATACAGTAATATTCACTCACACACTTATAACTTTCTTTTCTTTTTTAATAAAGCTTTCTGTCTCTTTTCCTCCTCCTCTTGCCTCATGTCTTCTAGATCTTCCATTATACCTTTAAAACAAAAATTAGAGAACCGTCAAAATTGTAACAAAAAATATTACCAATTTTTGTGCTGATAACTTCTTCTCTCATCTGTTGTGCAAATGTAGACTCCATGTTGTCTATGTCATCATCCACATTTCGGTACCTTGATTTATCATATCCAAATATTTCACTAATATATTTTGAGTAATCCTCACTTTCTTCTGGACCATCATCAATAAAATCATCCATTTCAGAATCATAATCTTCATCATCATCCATAATTCTCCCTGAAACAAAAAACCTTACTGATAGATGAAAATTTCAAGTAAAAATACCAACTTTTATTATTAATAACAGGTTTCCTTTTGACGTCCTTTGGTGGAAATTCCCTTCTCCTAACATCTGAAGGGGGTAACTGTTTAGGCTTGAGATCTTTCGGAGGAAATTGTTTAGGTTTCAGATCAGAAGGAGAAAATTGCCTAGGTTTAATATCAGATGGTATTATTTTTTTTGGAACTTCTTTACTCAATTTGGCCATTTCCCTCTTTTTCAGATCATTCAAATCTTTTGGTTTGTTTAGTGTGTTTATTTTACTGCTAGACCCTGATGGTTTTATACTTGGTGAAGGCACAATTGGTCGTTTTTCACCTACTGGTGCTTTATTGCCTGGGATAATTTTTCTACCCACATCGGCAATAACTTTGTTTTGAGGTTTCTTCATAACTTCATTTTTGTTATCATTTACAATCTTCTTGCCTGGGTCACTCACATTTGGTTTTTTCACTTCACCATTCACTTTCTGATTTTTATCACCATTCAATTTTGGTATTCTATTGACTGTTTCCAGAGGAGGCAATTTTCCATCTCTTCGATCCCTCCACTCTTTTTCCCTCTCCATTTCTTTCTTCTGCTTTTTCGTCAATAAACGTTCTTCTTCTTTAGGTTTCTGTTCTATTACGATAGGTTCAAACTGTTTCTTTTCAGCAAGTTTTAACAAGTCATTGAAATTCAGAACTGGAGGCGCAGCAGATTTAGGTTTGTGTCTTGGAGCTTCCTCGTGTCTTGGCATCTCAACTTCTTCAACACAATCTTCTTTGTGTTTTCTTTTCCTTTTGTGAGGCATGTTAGCTTCTTCTTTTTCTCTTTCAATGGCCGCTTTCACTCTCTCTCGGGTACTATTCAAATCGGTGCTCACTTTCTTCTTACTCAAACTGAATTTAGGTTCATCGGGGATTTTACTGTATTTCTCCATCATTTTGTTGTAAAATGCTGCCGCCTCCTGAGAGACATATCCGTAGTCATCTTCATCCGGCTGGATTGGACCAGCGAGAGTTACAGACGTATTGTTTGAATCTACAGCGTCTTGAAGCACAGATTGATTGGCCGATTTCGTGCGTTTTAGCATAACATTAACACGTCGAGTGGCTTTTTTGTCCTATAACAAATGAATTAACGCATTGGATTAAAGCTAAACAGCACTACCTTCGCTCTCAAAGCTAATAATTCTTCTTTCTTTCGATGAGCTTCGAGCTTCTTTTCGCGTTCCTCCGCCTCTTTCTTCGCCAAAAATTTTTTGATGTTGTCTGACAACTGTTGCTTATTCCGTTGCTGCTTTTTCGGAGGTTCAAATTTGGTACTGTAGTACTTAATGCCCTACAATCGTATTTACGTGTCACTCCAAGGTTTTTGCTAATTTAATGGGTTTCATGCAAGTCTGTTCCAGAACAATTAATGTCAGGGTAGCGAAGGTGATACTTACCTCTTTTTTCCCGACTTTCTCATTTTTCTGTGCAGTATGAAGAAGTGCACCAAAATCCATGGTTTTTCGTTTAAAAAATCAGATAAAATTTGCAGAAAATACCACAGTTTTTGCGATTTATGTCATGACATATTTTCTTCTTACGTCGTACATGTCATCATTCGCCATTATCACTGAAATATTTGTGAAGTTAGGCAACTAAGAACATCTGTCCATTACCAACAACAGGAAATCAAAATAACCAAACTAACTAGATGACGTAACCATGGATGTAATAAAACGAAAGAGAGGCATTGTTGGCAGATACGCTATGTAAATTCTACACTCGAATTTCAAAATTTAAATTAATATCGACTTCCTTCAGTTAGTTTCATAATATCATAAAGTGATGGAAATACAATACTTTTGGTTTACAACTATTAGTAACATTAAACACCTAGTGGCAAAGGTTCTCACGAATTTTGGCGGCTTTTTGTAATATTTCAAAATATTTAAAACATTTTTTATTGCTGCAAGTTCAACATGGGGAAATATTGCGTACTATGCATAAACAAAAAAATAAAATTAAATGTACTGGAACAAGAATTAAAAGAGGTGAAGAGTTTAATGAAGAAAAATAAACGCATTACTGAATACAAATCCTGTTATTAGATGTAACAATAAAGAACGAGCAAAAAGACGTTCGCAAACACTCTTTCTCTAGTTAATAAATGAATACGGAAAGTTTATTAAGTCAAATTTAAAAATTGTTGAATTAAAAAAAGACAATAAAAAAATTCTATTTATTCATATTTGTATTGTCTCAATAATTCTTATAATAATGTTAGTTGCATTTCTTGGTGAAACATGAGGGGAAATTTTGGAGAAGATTTGGTTGATTGTCTAGAATATACTGTTATCTAGATGTCTTATTGTGTATTGTTATTCGTTGCTCATCCTTTGTATATGTTGTTTATTATTTATGTGAATGAACAATAAATGTTTGATTGCGACATTGTGTTTTGATTTATTAGTAACAATTTTATTGTTGTGGGGAAAAAAGGTAATGAGATATGTACGGTTGTCGTGACCTGAAATTTCACGTGGTGTAATTAGTTCTTGTATTTCTAAAGACTGATATTTGATTTCGTTTATTGGTTATTTTCAGACAAGTTTTTCATTGTTTGCTACGGACTTAATAAAGAATTTCTAAACAATTACAAATCTCTACAACTTTCAGGACTTTGCCGGATTTCTATATTTTTATTATTAATTAATCACAGTTTTAAAATTAAATTTGACGACGTAAATTTTATAAAAGACATCTTTCGTACTCTTATATTTTTGGAAGTTTCATTCCTGAGCACCTTTTAGTCTATTGAGCAATAATTTGTAGAAATTGAATATCATTTACTTCAAGAAATTTATTGTGTATGCAGACAATGTATCCATGACTTCTAAAATAAATTCTATTAAAAAAAGAATGAAATTTGACAATTATATTCTTCAGTCTTGAAGCATAGATTGATTGCCCCGCCCACCTACCCTCTATTTTCTTAGAGGGTATGTCATTTGCCAAAATCAGTCTTATTTTAGCAAGTAGTAGGCCCGCCCACCTATCCCCTATTTTTATTCTAAAGACTAATTTTATTTCCGTTTAGTATAAGATCAACCATTTTATTGAGATTGGATAAAATGGATCACTGAAAAAAAGACAGGGTGGGTGGGCGGGGCTAATTATGTTCTTCAGTCGAGTGGGAGTGGAAACTAATAATGGAATTTAGGATGTGAAAAAACAAAAAAAAAAGCGCTAATCTCTAAAAATAGCTGTATTTCAATTGGCGATTTTGGAAAAAGGGTAGGAGTTTTCGAAGAAACGAAGCCGAAAATGACTTCTAGATACTGAAATCTACAAAAATGTCCTCAATTAATTTTCGGAAATGGTTGAAAAATGGTCGAAAATGTCAAAAGTGCCAAAATCAGTTTTATCTCATCAAATACTAGCCCCGCCCTCCCACCCTCTATTTTCTTAGAAACTATGTCATTTGCCAAAATCAGTTTTATCTTATCAAATACTAGCCCCGCCCACCCACCCTCAATTTTCTTAGAGGGTGTGTCATTTGCCAAAATCAGTCTTATTTTAGCAAGTACTAGCCCCGCCCACCTCCCCTATTCTCATTCTAACGACCAATTTTATTTCCATTTATTATAAGATCATCCATTTTATTGAGATTGGATAAAATCAATCATTGAAAAAAGACAGGGTGGGTGGGCGGGGCTAATTATGTTCTTCAGTCGAGTGGGAGTGGAAACTAATAATAGAATCTAGGATGTGAAAAAAACTAAAAAAAGCGCTAATCTCTAAAAATAGCTGTATTTCAATTGGCGATTTTGGAAAAACGGTAGAAGTTTTCGAAGAAACGAAGCCGAAAATGACTTCTAAATATTGAAATCTACAACAAAATGTCTTCAATGAATTTTCGGAAATGGTTGAAAAATGGTCGAAAATGTCAAGTGCCAAAATCAGGCTTATCTCATTAAATACTAACCCCGCCCACCCACCCTCTATTTTCTTAGAGACTATGTCATTTGCCAAAATCAATCTTATTTTAGCAAGTATCAGCCCCGCCCACCTCCCTTATTCTGATTCTAACGACTAATTTTATTTCAGTTTAGTAGTATAAGATCATTCATTTTATTGAGATTGGATAAAATCAATCACTGAAAAAAAGACAGGGTGGGCGGGCGGGGCTAATTATGTTCTTCAGTCGAGTGGGAGTGGAAACTAATAATAGAATCTAGGATGTGAAAAAACTAAAAAAAGCGCTAATCTCTAAAAATAGCTGTATTTCAATTGGCGATTTTGGAAAAACCGTAAGAGTTTTCTAAAAAACGAAGCCAAAATGACTTCTAGATATTGAAATCTACAAGAAAATGTCTTCAATTAATTTTCGGAAATGGTTAAAAAATGGTCGAAAATGTCGAAAGTGCCAAAATCAGCCTTGTCTCATCAAATACTAGCCCCACCCACCCACCCTCTACTTTCTTAGAGAATTTGTCATTTGCCAAAATCAGTCTTACCTTAGCAAGTATTAAAATCAGAGACAAAATAAATCCAAACATTATATACAGACACGTTTTTCTACAACTGTAATATTTCTTCAGTCCAGTTCGTTTTTAATTTGTTACGATATGTATCCATCATATTAGACAATCTGATTATATCACCAACTTCAAATTTCGATTTTTTATTTGTAAGTATAACCTTGTATTCGGTTTCTAATAATTTTCTTTCATTTTCCGGGCGGCAAAAAAGCCTGGAAGCGGAAGTCGCGATGGGCGATCCAGAAAGACTTCGACTGCGGGTAGTATGACTTTAAATAGAGGCCACCTTCAGGATTATTATTAATCAGTCAAGTTGCGCCGGAATTATTTTGTACATAATCGCTGTGTAACTAGTCGTGTAAATTTGAGTTTTTCCGAAATAAATTGTTGAGTTTACCCACGCCGATTTTAAATACCTGTCCAACGTAATAGTATTTTTTCAGATCATCATGAAATGAATTGAAGTATGTAATCAGTGCGTAGAAATACTTGATAAATTATTAAAAATGAAACTGATAAAAAAGTCAGATCATAGAGTGACATTCTCATGAGAATATATAAGGAAGTAGAGGAAAGACATTCAGAAATAAAGCCTTTTGCTAGTCCATATCTTACACCTAAAACAAATGGTATTTATGGACATTAGAGATGTACCGACTGTAGGTCTGGCCGACTAACCGACTAGCCGATTGTTCGGCCAGTAAAAACCGACTAGTCGGCCGACTGTTCGGCCTTGCTAAAACCGGTTTATAAATTCGACAGAGAGTGTGTTTTTTTTTTCTATTTCTCTGACTACCTTAAAAATGTGTTTTATTTTAATAAAAGGAATAACTAAAGTTTCTTTGTTTTCCAAAAAATGTGTTAAATTTGTTTGGATAATTTTAACATTTAATTATTTTTAGTAATTAAATCGCAATTAAATATTTAATTGAGGTTCTGTAAACCGGGTTTAATTGTTTTATATACTATTTTAATTTTAATAAAAAAAGCCGACCGATCGGCTGTTTAGCCGACCAGTCGCCGACTGCAGCCGACGATGAAAACCGGCCGAATAGTCGGCTTATCCGAGCGGTCGGCCACTAGTCGGTACATCCCTAATGGACATGCTTGGGAACATTTATCTATTGAGGGAATTTATAAACATGGAGATGTTTTTACTCTTGTAATGGGATCATAAATAATTAATTTTCTCTAAAAGGGCTTGTAACACACATTTGTTTAATGATCCTCTGATAAATCCCAAAATCATTTCAATACAAATCTTACTACAGCTGTTTCTTGGATAGTGTTAAAAATGAGAGTAAATTGAAAAAACAAGAATATAAATTAACAGTAAAAATCATTGTTGCTAAATTACAGTATTTAATATAAGACAGTCACCTAACACTCATAAAAGATCCTCTTCAGACCTTATATATTCTCCTATATCTGCTTGATGAAAGCAGACTGACGCTAAAGGATCTGCATGTTTGCAATCAGCTGTTGACCTTGCTGCAACTCCGAATCCTAATGGTAAATCTGCCATGTTATACACTAGCACACCCTGGTACTTTTCCGTATTTTCACTAATTCGACCTAACCCAGATTTGGATACATGATTACCATACAAGAATTGTTGCTCCGCTGAAGGTTTTAACCATATTTTACTCTTAAAAAAAAGCAAGAGTAATTTAATAAATACACTTCCAATACATACTTGAGCATATGGTGCTAAATAATTGAGCGCTGTTATATGCAACCTGAACTTATTTGTCTTCGTAAATTTCCCAAAACAAGTCCCTGCACAGATCAGTTGAGTTGGAGGTACATTTTCGGCAAGTTTGAGGATTTTTTCTGAAATGTAATAAACTCTGTCTTTTTGTTCGCGAAAGCAGTAGATTCCGTCCGGTCTTTCAATCAGTAGTTTAACATTGGGACCAATGCTGAATTATAAAAAGAAAACGTAAATACATGTGCACTAACCTCTATTGGTTTCAAATGAAAATTGTCATACTCACTATTTTGCTAATTTTTCAAATAATATTTTCGTTCTTTCTTCCGATAATCTTTTCATTTTGAAAATAGCTTTACTCTTCGTATTACAGTATTCGGTAGAATTATTTTTGCACGATTTTCGAATTTGAAGGTTAGTTCGAAGGAGGGGAGAAATAAATTTCACCGTTTAGGGTCTTCATAATAGTTAGGTTGACAATTAATTACTAACGGCGGGTAGTTTAAAAAAATTCTTCGATATTCAAAATCAAAACGTGCAAGCTTTTGTACTTTTGGTTATTTTATTAAAATACCCATAAATAACATTTAAATAGGATTGACCATCAACGCCTAAAGTTAAAAACTAAAAAATGTAAATTTGAATATATCAACATAAGATAAAATTCTGGCAATTTCAACTACATATCTATATAAAACTAAGTTTTCCAAATGAATTTTGTAACATAAATAAATCACAATATTTTTTGTTCAAAAATCGATTATCTGCTAGAGTCTACTTTGTCATAACAATTGAACACTGTAAAAGTTGCTATTAACTATTATGAAGGTAAGCATGGAGACTGTTTCTCCTCAGCAAGTTCCATCAAGTTTGATTTAATTTCTTTACTGATTTCTTCAGCTTCAGGGACTTCTGATATTACCCATGTGTCATCAGTGCTCTCCAATTTTTCACGACAAATGGGACAGGTATTATGGGAAGCATTCCTTAAATTACTATAGTTAACATTTTACAACCAAAACAAACCACATACCATTCTTCAATACATGGCAAACAGTAACTGTGCATACATGGCAATATAACCTCATGTTTCCTTTCTAGACAAATACAGCATTCTTTTGCATTTTCAGTTGGGTGGTCTGAGATGTTATTTAATACTTGTGATACTGTTATTTGTTGTTTAACACCACTAAAACAAGGAAACCTAAAAAATGATAAGGGACACACAACAGGTATCCTCACACCTCCGACTTTGTTCTTCTGCAGAAGACTGACACTTCAATGTCTTAAAAACTTTTAAAAATTCATACAGATTCAACAACCTATACGTACTCACTTTCTGAGTACTCGAGTCAATTTTTACACAAGCTATTTGTACAGTGGCTTTCCAAAATACTGTGGAATCAGTCCCTTTCTTTACGGCAAAAACCAACTGTTTACCTTCTGAATCTAAACGCTGCTTTGACCTGAAATGTTACGTTACATAAGCAGCCCCCATCCCACAAAACTTATTAGTTTTTACAGTTGATTCAGCTCGCCAAGTATAGTCAAGAACTTCTCATACGTCAGAGTATGGATCTCTTCAGTCAGTAATGTCAGGATAGGTTCATCCGAGATTATCTCGGAAAAATAATCCTGAAACTGGGAACTCTGTTGAGAACCCATTTTAGAGTCAAAGTCAAAACAATAAAAGCAACCACCTGACAAGTGTCACGTTAATTGAGGTTATGGTAAGTGGCGCCCTCAACTACATACAAAAAAAAAAAAACGTTTACCAACAAAGTTTATTTGTCGATTAAAATTAGAATACAAAACTTAATTTATTGTTGTGCACTCCTCCCTCGTCCGAAGCCACCTCTCTGCAATAACACAATATCAAACTTTGTAACATTATTTACTCCAAAACTTACGAATTCCAAATCAGCAGTGCCTGCGCCAACATCAGCTTTTTTATCGGCACCGGGGCCTCCTGGTGTTCTTCTGTATCCAGCCCGATCTTCTGCGGGTTTGGTAGATGTTTCCGATTTGAAGGGAGCTGGTCGCGCACGTGTGGTTTCGGTGCGGGCCTGCCTCTTGAGGGTTGATGGTACGATTTCAGGAGGCAAGTGCAAAATGGTACGAAGGTACTCAATACCTTGATTCGTCAAATACCTGAAAAAATAGCATGTACTTGCACTTGTTTGTGTTTCAGTTTCGTGTATTATACCAGTAGTAGTGTCTCCAAGCAAATTGTTCCTTGACATAGCCTTTAGACTTGAGGGATTGCAAAGCTTTGATAACTTGCAAGTTTGGAATACTTTCCAATTCTGGGTGTTTTGGTGCATGGGTATCCTTCTTTGCTACCATTACACCTTCTTTGAAAAGGTATTCGTAGATGGCGATTCGATTCTTCTTGGGCATCAACATTCTGAAAAAACACGGTTGTTTAGTACAAATTTGGGGTTAGGTTTTGGCGAATTGTTAACTTGATCGAATGCAAATAAAATACACAGTGAAGCTTACGTTAGTCTTAAAATAACTAATTGAGGATGTTTATATTATAAAATGTGTGAGGATGATCGAGATAAAGTGAAAATTTTACAAATTACATACTTGAAGCACAATTCGACACCACTGCCAAAACAGAAAGAACTGTAAACAGGCCTGCCAACAATTGTCAAAATCACTAGAATTCTAGAATTACCAAACCAAGACTGGGATTGAAAGTCGTTTTTTTGTGATAACAAGAATTTGTGATTTTTTTAATGCTATTTAAAATAACGTCACATAATGTGATCAAAACATTTTATATCTCAAGGTCGCACATAAATTTTACAATTTCCATAAAATAATAGCACATTTTTTTCAATACTACGTCCATATATTGAAAAGCATACATGAAAATACTTTTAAAAGTTGGTTTCTCACGGAAATGAATTTTTTATATGCAATCGACTATAAGTTCCACAGGTTAAATTAACCTTTAATACCCCATTGGTACAATCTGAATAAAAAAACTGGACAAAATGAATAAGACGTTCACGTTTTTTTTTTTTTTTAATTAAATAGTACACGTCCATGTACCAATTCGACGAATTTTTAACTGAAAAGCAAGATCAAACAATTAATATTTGTAAATTGTAGAAAAATATAGATCCATTTAGTATGTCATGCAATTTCTTATATTAGAACCAAATTTTTTTATTAATTAACTGTTAGTCAAAATATAATATCTGTCGTAGTATTAAGATATTAAATTTACGTATATAAAAAATATGTATAGCCATGGTCCAGAAAAACTAATCTTTTTTAAAATAACACCATACGCTAGATAATTGTAGTAGTTCCGGTGAGAGATTGGGATTTTTTGACAGTTGACATGTAAGTTGGCAGCAACCTAACACTACAAAATGCGCTAAAATTTCTACGCTGACGCTGTCTCTGTTACAAATGTAGAACTGTTGAAGTTCCATTACTGCGGTTGCCTTTTTTTCTTAATATGTGTAGTCATCTTTTCACACCAAGACACTTAAAACATATTTAAAATGATAAATTTGTATAGGGAAATATCGATTTTGCAATTACGCTCCGCCCCTCGGTCTGACAGCCAATGAAAAATTCGTCACAATGGAGATCGAGACGGATGGGTGGAGCTTCTGTTTTGGTTTTCTTTGTATAACACGATTACTTAAGAACAATTTCACTGGTAATTTCTGGTAGAAAAATAAGGATTTTACAATTAACCTCCACCCCTCGGTTTACGACGAATAAAAAAATCATCAGAATTGAGATAGGGCGGGTGGGCGGGGCTTATATTATGCCTTTTTTTTTAATATATGTAGCCATCTATTCACAACAAGAAACTCAGAACACGGTTAAAATGGTACATTTTTGCAAGAAAATATGGATTTTGCAATTATGGGTCGAAGCCTAATTGCAAAATCGATGTTTCTTTATACAAATTTTCCATTTTAAAAATGTTTTAAGTTTGATGTTGTGAAAATAAGTCTACACATTTTAAAATAAATCCACAAATTACTCTTTTGACTTTGTTTTAATTGTTAGATTCTACCACTTGTCAAAATAGAATTCAATTCCCAATTTACAATAAATAAAATAAGTCAGAGGAATGAAGAAAAGAGGTGGGCAGGACTCAGTTTTTTTTCTACAGAATCTTATAAACCAGCAGTAGCTCCACCCACCCACCCTCCCTCTCTTCATTCTAGTAACTGCTATAAATATTGTTCAGTCTTATCTTGCCAAGTAATAGCCGCACCTACCCGCCCTCTATTTTTTTAGAGGGTGTTATTTGCCAAAATCAGTTTTATCTGGGCAGGTACTAGAACCGCCCACCCACCCTATCCTCATTTTAACGACTTTATTTCTGTTCATCAGTATAAAATCTACGTTTCATTCAAATAGATACAATGAATCACTAAAATGAAGGTGGGGTAAGTGGGCGGAGTTAATTTTATATTCTTCTGTAAAGTGGCAAAAAACTAATAAAACCTGGACTGTTAAAAAGAGAAAAAAGAACGGGTGGGTGGACGGGGCTAAGTTTAACTTATTCTTATAGTCTTTTATAAGCAAGCAATAGCCCCGCCCACCCACCCCTTCTTCATTCTAGTGACTGCTCGTAATACTGTTAATTATTATCTTGAAATCCAAAGATCGTAAATCTAATTACGTATTAATTTTTCCCTACGAATATTTTAGTTTTCAAGAAAATTTAATGTCTTGAGTCAACAACTATCAACATTTTTAGGAAATAATTTTGAAAGCTCAATTTCGAAAATTTAATATGTTAGATCAGCTGCTAAGAATAACTACCGTAATTTTTCCAAAATATTTTTTTAAACATGTATCCAAATTTTGTTTTTAATATAAAAAATACAATTTTAAAATCACTTTAAAAGAATTCAAAATGGTCTGAACTAAATTTTTAATGTTTCATGTTTTCTCTCAATTTCTGTAACCGAATCTGTAATTACAAATTTTGAGATAAATTCACAGATTTGAAGAATCTTTAAATGTAAGTCATAAATTTATTTATTTTTCACGGTGAATAAAAAAAAATCATCAGAATTGAGATAGGGTGGGTGGGCGGGGCTTATATTTTGCTTTTTTTTAATATACGTAGTCATCTTTTCACAACAAGAAACTTAGAACATGGTTAAAATGGTACATTTTCGCAAGGAAATATGGATTTTGCACTTATGGGTCAGAGCCTAATTGCAAAATCGATATTTCTTTATACAAATTTTCCATTTTAAACATGTTTTAAGTTTCATGTTGCGAAAATAAGTCTACATATATTGAAATAAAAAGGCAAAATGTAAGCCCTCCCACCCGCCCTATCTCAATTCTGACCATTTTTTTTTATTCACCGTGAACCAAGGGGACGGAGCTTAACTGTAAAATACTTATTTCTTTAGAAGAAATTAAAAACATGTTTTTAAGTATCGTGTTGTTCAAAGAATGCTATGTATATTAAGAAGAAAAGACAAAATATAAACTCTTCTTACCCACCTCAACTCAATTGTGATGATTTTTTTTATTCTTAGATACTTTAAACACGTTTAAAATGGTAAATTTTTGTTAGAAAATAGGGATTTTGCAATTAGAAAACTTCATTACTATTTAAATTAGGGCGGGTATGGGTGGGGCTTAATCTTTAGCTTTATTTTTTTTCTTAATATATGTACATAGTATTCACTGAATAACACGATACTCAAAAACATGTTTTAATTTCTCGTAGAGACATAAGGATTTTGCAGTTAAGCTCCGCCTTCTTGGTTCACGACGAATAAAAAAATCATACAATTGAGTGAGATAGAGCGGGTGGGCGGGGCTACATTTTGATTTTTTTTTTTTTCTTAATATGTGTAGACTTATTTCGACAACAAGAAAAAAGTAATCCTCCACTTTTTTCCTACAACCCCTTTAAATACGGCAAAAATTGAGCATCAAAGTAACTATCAACGGCAACTTGGCAACGGTTTTAGGAGATATTGCAAATAATTTTCAGGAGAATACAAAGGTATAATGACAACGGACACAACATTTTAGTGGTAAGAAACATCAACTCGATGGAATTAATTTTCGTATAGTAAAATTATGGCTCCGAAACAAAAGTCACTACAAAAATTCTCGAGTAACGTAAAACCTAAATTATACCTAAGTGGTCAGTACACCAACTATGCGATATCGCCAAACGATGACTTTGGTGTTTTTTTCAGTATTCTAGGCTGGTCGGACAGTTGGTATTGAGTGTTCTGTGGTTGGTATTTACGACCACCATTAGTTTGACATGACTCTGACGTTTGACGTTTCAATATTTTGATATTTTTGTTTGGTTTAGTTAAAAATTTCTTTTAGTAGCTAATATTTAGTAAACATAAAAAAATGGCTTCTTCGGAAGCGATACAAGTGAGTTCTTTACCCTTGCCACCCATGCAGTACGTAAATCACTATACTGATGAAATGATTCGAAGAGGAAGAGCTCCCAGGCCTCCACCTCCAATACAAGACAATTATCACATGTTTGGTAATGCTTTTAACACAGAAGAAAGTATAATTAGGCCGTTGGAAAGTCAGGTGAGTTCCATTTCCAGAAATAGACCAACTATTTATAAGCTATTTTAGGGAATTAAACGGTTGTACCCTCTTCATTTTGACCGGCGGAGGGAACTGAAGAAATTGAACCAATCGCTATTAGCGAATTTCCTCGACCTTCTCGACTTGTTAGTCAATTGTCCAGACTCGCCACGACGAGCGGAAAAAGTGGAGGACTTGAGTTTGTTGTTTATTCACATCCATCATTTATTAAATGAATTCCGACCGCATCAAGCGAGAGAAACGTTAAGGGTTATGATGGAACTGCAGAGGAGACAGAGAATTGAAACTGCCAACAGGTTTCAGAAGCACTTGGACAAAGTAATGGAAATATTGCAACAAGCAATCCAAAGTTTACCAGAACCCATGGAAATTGACTCAAAATTGTTGGTAGAAACTGACCTGCTTGTCAGTCAAGAAAAGGCTGCCAAGGAGGAGACCAAAACTGACCCCTGCTTCATTTTAGATAGGATAATGTGTAAAATAGTAGATAATATGTAATTGTACAGGTTTCTTACATTTCTTAAGTAAAAATAAACACAAAATGATAGAACTCTGATGTATTCAGAAACAAATAGTCAGCACAAATCCATTTTGTCACTTAAAGATAGCCAGTTTCAGAAAATGTAACCTATTTACAAGATGCTAACATGTAAAAATACTTGCTGATTACTAAAAAGTCAGTTTTAAAATAAATTCAAATGGCTATTCTTGCAATACTGCTCCAATACAACACACAAAATTTTATAAAACTCAGTTTCTCCAATTTCGCCCGGAGCCTCGTCCTCTGATGCCGCGTCCTCGGGGGCGATTTCTCGGATTGCCTCGATCTGAAACTCGCGTTGATTTTAAATTATTGAGAAACTCGTGCACGTACCATAATTCTGAAAATTGTTGCTAAATTTCCCGCTGGGCGGTGTATACAATTTCACGTTATCTCCTGATCGGTTAGGTCGATTCTGCTTGGGTCCTGACGCATTATCAAAAGTGATAGGGACGTGCCTTTTCTGGCCGCTTGCACTTGACGGTTTTTTCTACAACCAACACAATTCCACCCCATTCAAACCCGAAATGCTACTCACCAGTTCTTTTTCTATCGACTCCTGCTTGAAAGACAACGTGATATTACATTTGTACATTGGCGGCTGATAGAACAGATCTTTAATCAAAACATTTATGTTGTTAAGCAACGACGGTGCGATTTTCGCTTTCGCCGCATTCGTAGCATCCAGACTTTCGCTCGACTTTGTTGTGACAACCTTATTACATCCTTGCACGCCCCTAGAAAAGTAAACCAAACGAGCCCTAAAATCTTTCAATATTTGTGGATCATGAGTGAGAAAATCAGGACACTGTCGGGCCAAACGGTGGAAAGCAAACAACAGACATTCAACGAATGAAAATTCCAAGTTGGGCATTTTGTAAACGTCGGCGTTTTCAGGCGGGGGTGGCATGTAAAGCTTGATTTTGTCAAAAATTTGGACGACGTGAAGCGACGGGTTTTCAAATTTTCCACAATATATGCTCAGTTCAGCTAAATGTCGAAGGAGTTGTAGTTGGAATAGTTCGCCTTGCTCGAGAGTTGCTATTTTGTCCCACTGGGGAAAAATTTGGTCACAGTAATAGGCGACGAACTTGGTGGATTCATTTTTTCCCTGAAAGCAAGAGTAGAAATTGTGGGGGAGCGAGGTTAAGACTTACTGAAAATAGAGATAAGGCGTGCGTTGTACACACAATAACTCTGTCAACAATGCCGTCTTCTAAGGGGTCAAAGTCTCTGTCTAATTCCATAATTTCGGAAATAAAATCAAGGAGTTCTTGTTGACCGGCGGCTGTCTTTCCGTACTTGGTTTTCTTTAAACAGCTTATCACCATAACTATTTCATCAGAACTAATATCATCCTATAACACAAACAATAAAATTGGATGCAATATACTGATGTAGTACCACCTGCAACAATTTCTTTGACTCTTCGACTACAATACTTTCAATTTCTGTAGGCTGACTTTCAATAGGCTTTACAAACTTTGACTGAATAAACTCTAGGCATTTCACCCTAGCTGCTGCATTACTCAATGATCGAATGTGGTTATACATCGTGCGAAGAACATTTACCGAATCCTCTTTCCACAACTGTAACAGACACCAAGACGCTGTTGTATAATCACGTTGTTCTTCCAACTGCATCATCTGGGCGAGAATATCAGTGACTTTAGTCAGATGTTCTTTGACATCTTTAACAATCGAAACAAGATACCTCATGGCACATGCTCGAATCTAAAAATTGCGTGTTATCCTTTACTTATACTACCACAACTAGAATTACTTTAGTTTCTTCGTCCTCGCACAAATCCAACATCGCATTCAGAGCCTTGTCTTGCAGAGAAGGGAAATGTTTGAAAAATTTCGACAGAATTTGAGCTGCCAACATTTTCTCGCTTTCATTTCCTTTGATGCCTTCAATCGATTCAATGTATTCATTCGAGTGCTGGAAAATGGTCGTTTATGACAAACAACGCGAGAAATTATGGGAAAACTAACCTGTGTAACTTTATCCTTGGCATCTGACAGAATATTGTACTTTTCGTACAGTTTTTCCAGATTGTCGCTCATTCTGTCGAACTCAAATTGTTGTACCCGTTGTTGTATCGAACATTAAATAATGTTCTTATCTTTTATTAGAAACACTCTTTTTAACATACGTTTTTTGATCGACACCGGTGTTCATTCAGCGTGCCCAACAAACCTCCATTTTTGTTGCGTTAATACAGGAATCTGTAAAGGTAGATATGATTTTAGCTAATCACTAAAAGATGGCACTATCATCTTAAAATAAAATTACATTTATTAATAAATCGTCCTAACTGCTATCTTAATACGAAAATGTATCATATTTTTATGTATATAATCCCGGCAGAGAAGAAAGTAACATGTGCCTTTAAAAGTAAATAATAATTATAATTTTGTTTGTTGGATTGGCAACACATTTAAAAATTTTTTATGGCATACCTGATTGTCAAAATGAAATTTAGGACACCAAAACATCAACAAACTGCATTTTGCTTAAAATATCAAAGACTGCTATGTCATTGTATTTTTGGTTGGGTTTTCAGTTTTTTAGGGGAGAAGCTTCAAAATAAAAGCATAGGTAGATTTTTGTGAATAGCAGCTGTTTTAATTCAAAACCAATAACAGTAAATATCATAACTGTTATGAAATTGTATTGTTGGGTTTTGAGTTTTTGAAGTGTGATGCTTTTCGTGAATAACCTGTGTACAGGATGTTTCTTTTATTTGATACAACTCCTGTAACTTGTAACTTTTTTATTCTTAAAGATAAACCTGTAGTTTTTAGGCAAATTTGTATCATTTTAAACGATCAGGTGATGGTAACCTCACATTTTTATTATCGCTTCCGGTAGGACCGGAAATGACGTCAAGTTTTTTTTTATGGAACACTAGGCACATTTTTTCATAAATGGAAAGATTGATTTCTTGTAAAAAATAAAGAGCAACCAATATTCTAAAATCAATACTTAAAAAGTTGTTCAATAAAATAGACGAAAAATTAATATTTATCTATCTAGTACATAGTAATAGATAGTTATAGTGCTAATGACCTATTTAAAGTAAGTTTAAACATAGAAGTAGGTAATTATATCTTGGTGCGTTAATGCTTTTCTAGTTTTAGATATGTTTCTTTTCAACCTAAATTTTAAAACTGACTAAGGACTTTCAATACTTATGTAAATTGTATAAGTTACAAATTAACCATGAACTATTTATCCTGTCGAGTATGACAGTCCAACAAAGTGTTCCTCACACCTCACACTTGATATCCTCACAAAAAGTTTTATCCATAACTACACATCTAAATTACTCCCCAGACGACAGTTTTCTTTTTTCTTGGAATCTCACAGGCCGTAGATTACAAAAATGCAGTTTTTTTTAATTGGTCTGTCTGACTTGTCTTTCTACCTTTGATAGCCTAAGTGTATCCGTTGCTGTTTTGTTGAAAATTTATCGAAAAAGATTCTACATAGATGATAGGGTATGCGGCTCGAAGAACCAAAAATGATGGGGTAGTTCGGCTCGAAGGATCAAAAAATGTGGATTTGGAACTTGTAGGTCAAACTGGATGATACTCTGAACTAATGAGGTTCAGAGCAGCTATAAGACGTCTGTACTTTCCACCGTTTATTCTCTTAGCCTAACAGATACAAACTAAAACCACAGACTAAAACTACATTTACATATTTAAGTGGGAGAGGGTGGTTACCTCCCCTTCCTTTCCGTTTGCTGGTTGGAAGGCGGGCTTCTCGATTGGGCCGAACAAATGAACAATAGATAACTACTGAACCGACGTTTAGGTACCTAGGTACTTTACGTTAGGCGAGTTCCTACCTTCGGCTGTTCTGGAAGGCTCAATATATTTTCATGTAATATGTATCTAATGTGTAGTTCAAATAGTTGATAACTTAGACTTAAAATATTGTTAAACAAATTTCATTCGAACGTCGCAGAGCAACAGACTTTTTATCTATACGTAGTACACGGGTATCTTTTGCGTTGCGTATACGGGTTGTGTTAAAAATTAAATTTACATTATCACGTATATTTTACGTTTTATCGCATGCATTAAATAAGAGACTTTTTAGAGATTTAGGGCAGTTGCTAATGAATTACAGAGTATCTGTTAAAACTTACGTATTTGTCCGAAAAATTGACGACAAAAGGTTAATAAATAGTTACATAAATCTGCATTGAATTATCGGATTCAAAATCGTATACCTAATCAAGTTTTACAATTTAACTTGAAACAATAATTGCTCTCAGATTAATTAACACATATTAATATTATTATAGATTATATAATAAATCTCGCTTGAAGTTTATAGTGTGGTATAACCTATACCTCTTTATCTATGAAGTAATAACATGCTTTTAGTGGTGCATCAGTTAGGTACACCTTGTTTAAATAATGAAATTTGTACAACAAAATTTCACAGTATTTTAGAATCTACGAAACTATTTTTTTTTTGAAATTTTGGGAAGACGCTGAAACTGATGTCTTATTAGAGTGTTTGTTAAAAGAATCAAAATTTACGAAGTCAGTTTCTTAATTTATCTAACGAAGGAGGTTCTACCTAAATAACTTTCAAACGATGGTACAACAAAGGAATTTTAATACGAATATATAATTTCATGTAATGTATGCAGTGTTGTTTGCTTCATTAGATCCTGTCTTTAAACGGATTTCAAATTTCCCAGATACTGTTCTTTATGTTTCAGTTTTGGCTTTGACAGAGTTTTAGAAATATGCTGAAATTCTATAAATTGCACCTATGTGTGACATTATCTTTGAATAATTTCACTGTTTTATATTACACGAGGAATTAGTTCTTGAACCGAAACCTCGAAAAATCTACAATCCGAAAAGTCGAGAAATCGAAAAATCGGAACATCGGAAAATTGAGAAACTGAAACATCGAGAAAACGAAACATCAATATATCGAGAAATTGAGAAATCGGAAAGTCGAGAAGTCGAAAAATCTAAAAATTAAGAAATTGAAAATTTAAAAGTTAAGCACTGATAAAATCGAACGATTAAACAAAATCGATACAACAAGAAATCAAAAAATGGAAAAGTCGAAAAATTAAGAATTGAAAAATAGAAACATTGAACAATCAAAGAATCGAAACATTGAAATTTCTATACTAAAACGCGAAACCAAAAAATTGAAAAATCGAAAAATTGAAAAACGAAAAATCTGAAACCGAGAAGTCGAAAAATCGAAAGATCGAATATCAAAACATTAAAAAACTAAAAAATTTATAATTAAAAAAATCAAGATATAGAAAAATCTAAAATTTTGAAATTGAAAAATCAAAATATAGAAAAATTGAAGAATCGAAAAATCAAAAAATTGAAAAGCAAATTGAAAAATTGAAAAAAATTAAAAATAGAAAAATCGAAAAATCGAAGAAAAATTGCAGAATCGAAAAACTGAAAAATCCCAAAATTTAAACATCGAAAAATTGAAAAATCGAGAACTCGAAAAATCGAAAATTTAAAAAACTGAAAAATCAAAAACCTGAAAAATCTAAAAATAACTGAAGAATTTAAAAATGGAAAAATCAAGAATTTTAAAAATCGGAAGATTGAAAAGCCGAAAAATATAAAATCGAGAAGTCGAAAAATCGAAAAATCTAATAGGTAGGTATTTATAAAATTTAAAAATCAAAACGTTGAAAAATCTAAAATCCGAAAAGTCGTTAAATCGGACAATCGAAACATCGAAAAATTGAGGAACTGAAACATAGAGAAACGAAACATCAAAAATCGAAATTTAAACATTGAAAAATTGAGAAATTAAAAACAATTGATACATGGAGAAATTAAACAATCGAAAAATTGGAAAATCAAAAAACAAGATTTAAAAATTGAAAAAGTGAAAAGCCAAAAAATTTAAAATCGATAAAATCGAAAAATCGAACATTCAAAAAACTAAAAAAATGCAATATTGAAAAATTGAAAGATTGAAACATCAAAAAAACGAAAAATGCAAAATCTGAACCTCGAAAAATTGCAAAATCTAAAAATCTAAAAGCGGAAATGTTGAAAAATCGATAAACATCGAAATTGAAAAACTGGAACATCGACAAATGAAACGTCAAAAGATCGAGAAATTGAGAAATCGAAAAGTCGAGAAGTCGAAAAATCGAAAAATCGGGAAACCGAAATAGCCCAAAATCGAAAATTTAAAAATTGAAAATATTAACACCCGGTTTATAGAAAGCGATATTAACGTTAATTCGCGATTAACTTTTACCAATTGCGAGCTCTTATTTATATTGCACATTTTAATCCTGTGTTAAATTAGTCGAGGATTAAATATTTAATTCGGTTTTCTTTGAACCGGCCCCTCCAATAATTTAAAATTAAAAAAAAAAAATCTTAAATCCGAAAAATCTAAAAATTGAACAATCGAAAACTCGAAACATCGAAAAAGCAAGAATTTAAAAAATTGAAAAATTGAAGAAAAATTGCAGAATCAAAAAATTGAAAAATGCCAAAAGTGAAACATCTAAAAATTGAGAAATCGAGAAATTGAAAAATCGAAGCCGAAAAATAGAAAATTTAAAAAACTGAAAATTCAAAAACTTGAAAAATCGAACAACTGAAAATACCCAAAATGGAAAATCGAAAAATTGAAGAGTCGGAAAACTGAAGAATCGAAAAACGGAAAAATGGAGAAATTGATAAATTCCAAAACTGCAATGACGATTTAAAAAATGTTTGAATGAATGAATGATGATGATTTAAAAAATTTAAAAATCCAAACTCGGAAAATCGAAAAATTGGCGAACTGAAAAACTGAAAAATAACAAAATCGAAACACAGCAGACGAGACAACGAAAAGACGAAAAATCAAAAAAACGATTATTCCAGAAATTGAGGAACTAATTAATATTAGAAAGTCTACTATAACGGTTTTGTTACGAATTATGATGGAAAGCGATTGTGACGCATGTTTTAGTATTTTGTAAAATATTAGTCGAAATAACATCTGTTCCTACGAATTTTTTGTTAGAATTTAATGTTTACGAAATGCAAAACACTGACATTTTTTAGACAACAAACGTTTGTTTAAATAAAGCACGAACTATTTAAAACATTAAAGCGCCCACGAATTCGCGTTGCATAAAAAGATTAAATCTCGTATCTTTTCCACACAAAAGAGCGCACACTTAATCTTTGAATAATGATCCTAA